GTGCCATGTTAATTTGTTTTTACAAAAGTTGCATGTTACGACTTTTGTCACTTTACAAAGCACAGGCTGTCTGCGATTTGAGACGTAGCTTGCGTTAGAACAGTTGACGTTACTGCCTTTTGAAAACAGCCTTTGCTCACCTGCGGCGCTGGCTCGCTCTGCCGTATTATTTTTTTCTTCCCCCATTTCAATCTAGTGGCAGTGATGACGACGGCGGTGGATGAAGCATTAAACGCGCGACACAACTAATCGATGATGAAATTCGTTGCCAACGCTTTTAAAAGTCGATTTTTATCAATTCGTTGTTGCAGCCCTAGTTCAGATCCAGTCTTAGTATCTGAGGGTATTTTTCTGTTTATTTTTATATTAACATATATGTCATAACTGGTTTGTTGTGGACATTATTACTGGTAATAAAAAAAATCTAAAAATGAAATTGAGAAACATGCAAATCATCTTCTAGTTTTTAACAGGGACAGACATCAGAAGCTGAACGTTTATACGCTGTTCAAAAAAATAAATGGAATTAGTAAACAACACAGTATAACTTTGATTAAATCATTTTTCAGTAAAATCAAACAGTTGTCTTTGGAAAAAACACTGATTGACAATCAATTTAACATGCGTTGGTGCAAATGGATAGACAGGTGGAAATTATTGGCAATTAGCAAGATGCACTCAATAAAGGAGTGGTTCTGCAGGTGGGGACAACAGACCACTTCTCAGTATTATGCTTTCTGGCTGATATTTTGGTCGCTTTTGAACATTCAACTTTGTACAGAACAAAGCATTCAATGAGAATATTTCATTCATTTAGTTCTAGGAAGTGTTATTTGAGTGTTCCCTTTATTCTTTTGAGCAGTGTATAAAAGTTACTATTTTGCCTCCTGTTAGCAAGTCCAAATCTGTCCCCTAACATGGTTGATTAGAAGCCATAATTCTTTTAAAAAATAACATCTAAAGGACACAGAGGCTGATTATTGCAATTAGCATTGGCAATAGGGCAAATAGTTAACGTATTGCACCAAAGATGGCTGTCTCTGTTTCTAGGTTAAAATGGATTTTGTTGAAATGGGTGTCTCAAAATGCAACACTTTTGTGCAATGAACAGAAATGTGATTAGCCGTTTATTACTCAGTTGTCCTGTATTCCGTAACCTTTTGTGGCATTTTTTATTTTTATTTTTTTTATTCAGTTGAACTGAGGGAGAAACAATTTTAGCTTGATTTTTTTTATTTATTATTATTTTACTATTATTTAGAACTATTAAAAATTATTTTCTTATCTGTATTTTTTCAAAGACAATATGGGAATCAGCTAAAATCAGCGGACCGGAATATTATAAAATGAATAATAGAACATTGGATTGATAGATTTTAGCAGGACATGGCATTTAGATATTATCACTGTTGTGATGATATTGATTACAATGCAGATATTCCCCCCTGTCCTCATCCTCATTTTAAAGGAGAATTCCGGTTTTTAACACTTTTAGCCCATTTTCTGTAGTGTCCAGGATGAAATCGAATGATCGACACCAAAATTTTGACAATTGGTCCTGTCTCTGCTTTTTGGCTCATGCAGAATCCCCCCCTGGCTGCTCCAGAATGGCTTCCATTGTGCATGTCCGATAATGTCCTTAAAACAACCTTAAACGTTCTTTTTCTAAAATATGCTACTCACCGGGTCGTCAGCGCTGTTCAATGACGTTCCAAAAAAAGTTTCGTGAAGAAAAAACGTTCCTGTAGTGTTTTATTTAGCATTTTGTAAATCCCATTGAGTTCTGTTGGAATAGTTGATATCCCTCCGCCACCGGAAACGGAAATGGGGCCTGTTTACACTTAGTTGTAGTCTTTTCGCTTCGCTCTGTGTACTCCGACGTCGAGGTGCTAACGTCTCTGTTAAACACTTTAAAAAACTCTGAAAATGGAATACGAAAGGTGGATTCTTGATTCTCGACGTCGGAGTACACAGAGTGAAGCGAAAAGACTACAACTGTGTAAACAGGCCCCATTTCCGTTTCAGGTGGCAGGGGAATATTGACTATTCCAACAGAACTCAATGGGATTTACAAAATGCTAAATAAAACACTACAGGAACGTTTTTTCTTTACGAAACTTTTTTTGGAACGTCATTGAACAGCGCTGACGACCCGGTGAGTAGCATATTTTAAAAAAAGAACGTTTAAGGTTGTTTTAAGGACATTATCGGACATGCTCTATGGAAGCCATTCTAAAGCAGCCAGGGGTGGATTCTAAATGAGCCAAAAAGCAGAGACAGGACCAATTGTCAAAATTTTGGTGTCGATCATTCGATTTCATCCTGGACACTACAGAAAATGGGCTAAAAGTGTTAAAAACCGAACTTCTCCTTTAAGATGCCGAAATCTGCCGGCAGAACATGTTTGCTTTTATTATCCTGGTGCCTGCAGTTTGGATTACATACGTGAAAAAAAGGCCTTCCTACCGCCGCAGCGAACCACGAGGAGGCGACCAGGCCATAGGCTGCTGTTGAATGGGTTTCTTAGTTACAGCGCACTGCCGCTGTACGGGTGTCTGTGCGGCTCCGACACAAATAACATTTGAAGGCAGGATGGTTATCTGGATGGACTGACTGCACTGACGATGTTTTTCCAGGTGGACCTTCTCCCTTCAAAATAGATTCAAACTACTTTTTACCCACTGATCACAGCATATAGAGCTGCCTTTGTTACAGGCAAAGAAAGGATAGGGCCCAGCCAGAGCAGCAAAGATGATTCAGCTGCGTGTCAGAACTAAGCTTGTGCAAGCAAAAGGGTCATCATTCGCAGAAAGCCAACTCTGGTCACCATAGGTGTGAACGTAGCATAACAGTGGCTAGCTTACAACCAAGGCGTCTTGCACAAGCATTGGGGGGTCGATTCATATATGTGTCAGGCTACGCGCAAAGGGGGGAGGGACAAGCAGACGACCATGATTGACTTGTCAAAGACCAGCCGTGTACACCGGACCGTTCTTTGTGATTGGTTGGGGTTATTCATTGATTTCTCACTGTAGTGGGGACCATTTATTTTAGTTTCACTTCCAGACCTCCTATTTCACTGCTTGCTAAGCAGCTGTGGGGAGAACTTTAAGCCACATGGTCAAGAATGCGTCAGAAAAGATCTCTTACTGCACCTTCAAAACGGATCCAAACATATTTGTACACACAGGGCAGAGCTTTAAAGTGGGGGGAATTGATTTGCATTTGCAATTCAACAGACAGCATGTGCAAACTATTCATTTTTTTCTGCTTTCATCAATATGCAGGTCATATTCTAATGACCCAATAACAGAGATTCATGGGTTGAGGGTAAACAAATTATTTACCACATCCAAATCAGAAACTAAACTGTGACAATAGTTTTATTGTCTTTTCTAGTAATTGTGAAAGTTGGGTGCAACATGACATCCAGAATTATCTGTGGTTATTGTGGCCACAAGGAAGGCAGTGGTACAAAGTAAGGCTGGGCTATTAATCTATCCTTTTGAAGATGTATGTATGATTTAATTATTGAGTCATGTATAATGTTTTTCACCTATCCATTTCTTGGGCCTCCACAACTCAAAGTGACATAATTTCATAATTTTTTTTTTCTTAGATGTTTACGTATAAAATACTGGCTGCAAACATTCAGTGTTTTTGTTTGTTTGTTTTTTTCATTGTTTGCTTTAACACATTATTATTTTGCAAAAAAATGAGGTTACCCTCCATAGGGGAGGATTAAAATCAAAAAAATGTTTTCAAAGTAATACATGCCATGTGTCGTTTCTATTATAAAACCTAAATGAGGAAAAAAATTATCTGATTTGGCAGGGTTCGATTTTTAAGCCATATCACCCAACCGTAGTGCAAAGCCAGAGGATGGAGAGAGATGCTGTGTGCATGTAAATATATTTTGACAGTAAGGAATTTAATAAAATATTGAGTTGCCCAAAAAAAGGTTATGTTTTTCTTTGCTTTTGTCGGTAGCCTTTAAGGTGGGCTATTTGAGATGCGCTTTAATTGTAATTTAGTGTTATGATTATTTTTTTTTACTATCATTATTACCTCGATCTCCATGGCTTAGAAACTCCTCTTTCTTTTATGGTCACCTAGGAAACTGCCTGTTCAACATGCAATCTGCTCATTTTAAGGGGAGGACCAAAACTAAGATAAAGCTATTTTACTTATGCAGGGATAAAGCACATTGCCCATATACAGAGTGTATGTTAATGCTTCCTTCACAAGTTTGAGTCCTAGCCTGTTGACCTTTCCTTTGCTGCATAGCGACCCCTCCACCCCCACACATTTCCTGTCAGCCTACTTTCGAAAAATTCACTAGTGACAAAAAAAAAGACTTAAAAAGAAAACCTCACTTTGCCATTTTAACTCCTCTCTTTTAAGTGCAAGGCACAGAATTCTCACCAAAGTAATTATCACCCGTTATTATTACTTTTTTGTTCAATGCAAATTTTACCTCTCGAAATATGTGCAAAAAAATGGTGTCAACACAGCAAAGAAGGCCCTGCTGAGCCAGCAGTTTTCTCTCTCTGCAGCATGCTTGCATGGAAAAATTCTACCTCCAAGTTAAACCTCTTTCAAGTAGTCTTGAATGTAGGTGATTATTTCTATATTATTGCATCTATTTGCATAGGCTAGCAACCACCAGTAAACCTTTCCTCACAGAACCTTTCCATTTGAAACAGTATCATCTATTTTGTAAGAGATTAATAATATATAAATTTTAAACATCAGGGTGTGCAGTATTATAATATTAGGAAGGAAGTTGTATTTAAAGTGTGAGGTATTTAGTTATCACTATATTTGGGCAGTTGTAATGTCATAACCACCCCCAATACCTATATCCCTTATTGACTTTTAGTAGCTGAGATGGGGAAGCTATTCAATCAGGGAGGGGGATATTGGTTAAAATACAAGAAATTATGTTTAAAAAATGTGGGTTACTTTTAAAGTCTAAAACAAAAAAAGGGTTTTCCTTTTTTTAACCAAGGTGACTGGAAATGAGAGGGAGGAAATAAGTGGTCATGAATTTCTGAATCAAAACTAAAATGATTTACTACATCACTGCCATTAAAATATTGATGTATGCAGCATACATTAACGTTTCTATACTGAATAATGTGTATATTTTTATGAATTGCCTGAATCCACTCTGCGTACATCTAATTTTTCCAAAAAGGCAGTTATCTGAGGTGCACGCTTTAGCTGTGTAATAATAAGGTGATTAATTTAGTGCAATAGTTTACGGGGAACAAAAAGAGACTTAATTAAAAACAATATTTATATCCCGCTTTGTGATCCACAGTGAAATCATTGCCAGCTTTGAACATTCGTTACTCGTTAACTAGAAAAATGGAGCAGGTGCTCTCCTCTGCGGTTCCTTTGCTCTGATCGCATGCAGGGGTTTCAGGACGGGGCGGCTGCCTGTGAGACAACACTTTGACAACAATAATAGAAGGATTGATGATGTCACGTGTCACTAAACTTCCCAAAAACAGAGAAGTGAGTAGATTTGTCTCAAAATCACTTTTTTTTTCTACAAAAAAATAGTTCCTCAAGGGGACTGAAAAGTGGCCCTAATTGGCATCACTAAATCATCAGTTTGTTTCATACATCAGCAAGCTTTACAGCAAGACAGACAGGAGCTGGTGGTTTTGGTTTTTCAAAACAAAGTACATTTTAAGATGTCATCATCTTAAACAGGCCTGGAAGCTTCAGGGTCCTTCTTAGTATCTTAGCTGTCTGTAGGACTTTGCTTTTCTGGACTGAGATGACTAAGATGCTTCCAGGTGTCAGCCTCAGTTTGAGCCACTTCTGCACTGTGGGGGTTACTGTCCAAAGTGATTCGATGACCACAGGCACCTACTAATTAACAACGCAAGAAAGTGATTGCTGATGAAAATAATCAGACATCCAATGAAGGAATCAGTCCATTTCCTTCTAATTCCCTATAACCTGGGTGTGACTACAAATTGAGCTGTTGGAGGCCTCTTTCCTGCTGTTGTCATGGTGAATCGCATCCCCTGTGTCCCATTGATGAGGGCTTCTTATATGGTCATGCTAAAGGTACCAACTTTAGCTACTCAGCTATCACCAGTTCTGGAGCAGGAAAACAGGAAATGTTTTCATCATGGGTGTTTATAGATGCATTCATGTATTCCAAGTAGATCTCACACTTAGTGATGTTTAACTCGTAGCCTTTTAAAAAATCTTAGCTAAGATTCCTGTTACAGTTTAATCCATGTTGGTATCTGTAAATGTGTGTTAGCACCATCCTAAGAGGAACTGTGTTCCCTTGTAGTTAGTGTTATTTATCTGCCCCTGTGAACTGATAGTGTATTGAGTAAATCCAAACGCTCTCCCTGTCTCTAGCCTACCCAGCAGTGTGTTGGGTGAACTTGATACAATGAGAAATTGTTTGGCTGCTAAAAAGCCTAGTTTGTCTGTGTGTAAATCACTGCTGATCCGCATGAGGTCACAGAGACAGAAACAAAGTGAAGAACGTGGGCAGTCCTACAGGATTGTGGTTTTCAGGAATGTTTACATGAAATGATCTTCCTACCAGATTTCCTTCACTTGTCTCAAATCTGCATCAGTGTCACACTAAAATCCAAATTTTAAGCTAAAGATCTGACCTGTTTTTTATTCAACAGGAAATGTTTAATACATTTGGAACTCGGTTATTTTTTTCCTCTTATCTTTCTATTTTCCTTGTTCTCATCAGCCCCAGAGCAGCCCAGCTGCAAGGCCCTGTATGACTTCGAGCCAGAGAATGAGGGGGAGCTGGGCTTCCACGAAGGCGACATCATCATCCTGACCAACCAAATCGATGAAAACTGGTACGAGGGCATGCTGAACGGCCAGTCAGGATTCTTCCCCCTCAACTACGTCGAGGTCCTTGTTCCATTGCCACACTAAAACAAAGAGAGCGCTGGAAGGAATTTAGAGGCGGAAACATTGTGGTGAAGAAGAAAAGTGAAGATATGAGGCGGTCTACAAAGGTTTCAATTTCACTTTGAGCTTCATCGTCATCACCAGAAGCAAGCACTTTTTGTAAACACAAGATCTGGATATGATATCAAACCAGAAGACAACTTTTTTTTCCTCAGAAAAACAAAACCCATCCAGACTAGGACTGTGACAAAACCTCTTAATCCTTCATGGGACAGTAGGAATAATTCTGTGGGGACTAACTGTTGGCAATATATGAGCAATACATTTTTCATCACAAATAGGTGACAAGGTTTTAAGTCTTCTTAACAGGTCGACACACAGATCCTTGTGGGGTTTTTTTGTAATTGCAGTCTCTTTTTGAGTCTGGTAGGTGATCGATCTAACGTTAATTAGAGTAGCGCTGTTGTAGGTTGAATATATCGCCTCAGATCTCAGTGAATTTCATGTGAACTTAACTGAAAATTCCACCAGAGCTCTGCAGTGTATACCTTGATGCCACCTTCTGGCAAGATGAGGGATTACTTCACCTCCATGAAATTGAAATGAAACATGGATAAATATTGTTGTATTTCAAAAATAATTTTATATTGGCAAATTATCTAATTTTGACTGTTTCAAAGTTTGTTTTTTTGTCTCGTGGCTGTGTGGTCATGACTGGATCAGCAGCCAACAGATTTGACAGGATCTACCTTTACTTTCAGTGTTTCTGTCCTTATACCTTCAGTTTTCAGGAATTGTGGAAACATTACTGAGCACCGGTGGTGAAATGAGATTAACACAGACATACTCTGCCGTTCTACACAGACCCAAAGGAAAATGCCGTGGTTGCACAGTTTCTTCAGTGTGTTTAGTTTAGGAGGCAGAGCCAAAAAGACTGTAAAATGCAATGGAAACATTTAGTGTCTGTTTGTCCGCTAATGACCCTATAACACAGCCATAAATTCCTGTAGGTTTCGACTTCCGTATTTTAGCATGTTTTCCTTTTTTGAAACCTTTTTTTTCTGAGCCCTGTCCTCGGCACCGTTTGAATTCATGCTGTGCCTGAATAGCTGACGCTGCCGGCAGCGGGCTAGCCTTTTATATTCACCACTAACTGTCCTACTTTTACTATCCGTCTTTATGTCTCAGAGAATGTGAACCTGATCAGTCTGGACCTGTAATTCTATACCTTAACCATGAATCGGACCTGACAGATGTGTTATTGTCTCAGGCTGACTGTTCAGACAGAGCTGGCTTTCTGGTTCTGAACCGTCCAAACCCACAGTCTTCATCGAACTTCACAGCTATGAGTGAGAGAAGGAGGAAAGTTTAAACGGGGAAAACATCAAGGGATGCACGATTGGTAAAAAACTGTTTTCCATTTGGATAAGCAAAGGCTGCAATTGTTACCAGGAGTTAACCTTCAGATTGTGAAGGTTGTTTTTGGTGTTTATATTTGTGAATGTTTGTGCTTTGTAATCATTCACAGAGGTCTTGTGTTTTATTTCCATCCTTCCGTCTGTTGTCCACCACTCCATTCTGCCTGCTGACTCTTCCATCTTTCTGTGGTCATGATCCGATACGTTTACATCTCTGACCATGATACATTTCAATGTTTGTATATATTTCAAAACTAAAGGGCGTAAAAGGTGCTGTGATGATAACATTAGTCAAGAGTCAGGCATGCATGTTTTAGTGCCTTTGGAAATTAAAAGAGGGACTGAAGAACAACCAAAATTAACTAGTTTAGTCAAATTCTCTATAGATGTTTTTATTTCTACCCGTTGGCACTTTTATGTGTTTTTACATGCATGTGTCTATTTCTTCACATGGATGACACTACAGACAGTTTCCTGGACATGTTCAGACTGCTCAAAGATCTCATCAGAAGATCCACGGGAACTGCGTTCTTTCTATTTAGATTGATATCATTGTTGGTTTTAAAGTCATACCTTTCCTTAAAGGGCTATGTATTTGTTTAACCAGTCTTACATTCTCCTTAAACTGCAATAAACTGCTATGAATTTCTATAGTGTTATTTTTTTATATAAGACCTTAAAACATTTCACATAATCTCTGCATGTAGACCTATGTTACTCATTGTACCTATGTATCTTAGATTTCATTTACTGTTTGTTATGCATAAAGAATTTAACTGCAATATTTTTTTTTATCATCACATTTGTTTGTGCTTCCTTCTCATTTCCTGTTTACCAACTTCTTACATTAAATAAAGGACAAACAAAAATAAAATGCTGTTTTGTGTTTGAAGTCAACTGCAAACAGTCCTTTTTTGAAATCGGTTTTGATTTAAAGAAGTGTGCACTTTCAACTAGGAAGATGGATTTTTTTTTTTTTTTTTTTTTTTTAAACACATGGCTGGAAAAATATTCTTAATCCCCAAAGTTAATACTTTTATTGAAAGTATTTCCAGTTAATACCTTTTTAGGTATAGAGTTTAAACCTAAGATATCTAACAGTGTGTTAGGATGCAGGACACCTTGGACAAGACACTTCATCCATGTGGTGCTGGTGTATAGAAGCTTTTCTTCTGACAGTTAGCAATAAAGCTCACTACCTTGAATGTGAATTGCCATAAAAGTATAGTACATTTTCTATAAATACACTATTCTGTCCACCTCCTGTTGTAATATCTCTTTACAGGTTTTATTCAAGCATATCCAGGTTTTTTACTTTAATTTCTATTTGCTTCAACTTTCCCTAACTTTCCTTTCGTTCATGTCTATGCATACCCATAGCATGATGCTGACAAAATGTTTCAGGGAAGAGCATCATTCATGTCTGTGATGTTCCTTAATCCTCTGCTTATGGCAAACTGCAACAGCTTTCTTCCATGTTTGCAATTAATAGCTCTGTTAACTACTTTTAGCACCCAAGCTGTGGATTCCTATTTTCTCCAGTTGCAATGGACCTCTGTGCCGTTTCTCTGACTAATCATCATCTTACCTGGGAGTTTAATTGGACACCCATGCCTTGGTCGATTTTCAGCTGTTTTATAACCCATCTTCCCCTTAAAACAATATGGGTTTGAATTACAGAACTCCTTGGCCTGTATGTTGTGATCTTTTGTCTTTAAGATATTGTTTGTTGACTAATGTATTGTTATAAACCTCCATGGTCTTCACAAAGAAAATAAATTTCAGCTATCGGGGAGGATTTTTTAAAGCCAATTAATTATCCTTGGTTTTACCCTTGGTGGAATCAGAGTAATCTGGGTCAAAAAAGAAGAAAACTATTTACTCTTTCCTCTCAACTCTTTAATACGCTGCTTTATGTTGGTCAAACCCATACAAAACTGTATAAACATTCAAGCTCTTTGGCTATAATGCGGCAAAACAATTAAACAATAGATCATATTTAAATGGTTCCAGTGTATATATTTTAATACTTAGTGATTCACCAATCAGCAGGCTTAAGGCATAGCTCTGTCTGCGCACATGTAAACCACACAGTCAACAGTTAGTAATAAATACAGAACAGTTTGAGAGGAAGCAAATACCTGTCTTAAAGAGTGCCCATGTTTCACTCAAACTAACAAAAGGACAGCAGATGGGCATGTTCACAACACAACGCACCTAACACACAAACACACACCTGTTTTGTTGAACTAGAGGAAGCACTCCACAACCAGCTCCTTAATATGACCTCAGGAGCCAAAACTGGATCTGTTGGAGAGTATCGTTTGGATCAAACATACTTTTGCATACATAGCTGATGGATGTTTTATACTACTATTGACTGCTTACCCACAACTACTATCCCCACTGACTGAGTCTATAAAGGCGAGACATTTATTACTGTTAATCATCCATATCTGTTAATATGGAAGCATATAGGTCCATGTTTTTAAAAGCAGCAGGTCTTCCACTGTCCATACAGTGTCCAGTTAAATCTGATTTCTTTTTTATGGGATTGTGTTTTGTTAGATTTGTATGTCTCTTCTCATAAAGTACAGTACAACTACAAAAAGCAACTACTTTCACATATCTAGTGCCTGTCCAGCTCTGAAAGTCTGTTTTTAATGCTATATGGATATTAACACTCAAGCAGGAGACCATTCAGGGCATCTATCTTTGTATTTTCAAGCAGAATTTAACGAGCGTCAGACCATTCAGGTCTGCTAAGCTGTTCAAAATGGAAGGACTCGAATCAGTTGGAGGTCACGTCACACGTGCAGGGCGGATCTCAGTGCGTTGTGCTAAGTTGGCTGTAGACATGTTCCAAGATCTGAGAGTAGGCCTGGTCTTTGGGGGCATGGCAGCTTAGAGAGCCCTGCAGAGACAGAAACGTTATTTAACGCAGACTTTGACACAGAGCCTTTGACCTACATGTGTCCTACCTTTATCTTGTCCATCATGGTCGTCTCAGGACACCAATACTGGTTAAACTGGACCAGATCGGGCGCCGTCCTGTAATAATCGACCAGCAGCATCTGTAGAAGAAATATGAATGTCTTTAGTCCTGCCTTGCTCTACCTTTAGGGGTTTGGCTTTAATTTCATGAGTCTGCATAATCAGTACCATCTCATTGAGAACATCACTTGTGAGAAAATTGTCCTGAACATAAGTGACTTCCACCGCCACAGGGATGCCGTAGTCATTAGGCCGTTGCTGTAGATAGGGGTGGGGGGGGACCATGATGAGAAACACGAGAACAAATGTTTCTAATTTCAGAGATGAACATAGTAAGGTACGGAAGCCGAGAGTGGTCATACTTGACTTTTTTTTTTTTCTTTGCTTTCGCAAGATAATGACATAACCTTCTCGTTATCACCGTTAAACCATTCATTGTTTTCTCGAGATAATAAGATAATTATCTCATTACCGGGAGGAAACAGATATTGATTTCTTGAGATAACGAGATGATTAACCTGTATGCGTAATGAATGAGGCTGGCCAACAGCCCTGGATTTCCAGTCCATTATGCTTACGGTAACCATAGTGTGCAGTCGGGGGTACCGCTTGTGCGCAAATAATACGTTTTCAGTTTCCTATTTCTTTTCATTAATTGTCAAGTCGTGGTGGATAATTGGATTGCGTAGGTTACAGTAGAAACGACTCTGCTTTTTTAATGAAAAACTTTAATCTGGACTCATTTTGGGGGTTAATGCATCTCATACCTGGTACAGACGTAACACCAGATGCTAAGGTGCCAGAGGCATAGGTCTAATTGGTTATGAATCAGAAGTGGAAGCAAATCATCAAACCAACAACGTTGTCTCGTTACCTAAAAGTTAAACACAGGATTATTTAAAGAATTTCACATTGGCTGCCATGACTTATAAATCCTCTCCCCCTGTTGTGATATTGAAGGATGTAATCAGTTTTAACATACACCAATCATCTTGTTATGACGAGAAAACGGCTTTTGTTATCTTAAGATAATGAGAAAATTAACTCGTTTTTCTCAAGAAAACCACAGTGTAAAAAGTATCTGAGGGATGCGACCGCTCTCGGCTTCTGTAGTAAGGCTCACATGGCAAACCACAAAACAAGAAGCTGAGAAGTGAAAGTTTTTTTCCAACCTCAGGTGGTGGTACGACCCAGAATGGTGTTATTGTAGATGCCACGCCTTGGTTTCCATGGTAATATGGACCTGAAAAGCACCAACAAAAAGTGGTCAAGTTTACAAAATTACTTATTAAGAAAAATAAATGTGGCATTGATTACTGTTTATGCTAGAATGAAGCGTCTCTCCCTCCTTTGTATAAATCACCAGACATAACAGGAAGTCTGTCTCACAGTGGTTAGTCTCTAATACCAGATGGATTTCACCCAATAATTACATTCATCATAGGAAATTTCCAAGTTTCCTGCTATTCTCTCACATTTGAGGAAATAGCTCCTTCTGACCAGTAAGTGGCGCTCTAGCACTGGCCCACTCTCCTTAAAACTGTTTGCCAGTTGGTTGTCAGATTGGACAATGTTGATGCCAACATTTTGTCATCTTAGGTTCATTAGCCCCTGTGTGGCTTCTGAGCTTTTTAGCTTTGTTAAATTGGCACAAAAAGTTGAAAAGCTTAACCAGTGTTTACCCTTGTTTGCTTCTTTAACTATTCTTGAAGGTGAAGAATCCTTTGGAAATTTACATATCTAAGCAACAACTGGCTATAAACTGATGATATCTACTGAACTGTCTCCCACCAAGCCTGTAGGGATTTCTACATCTAGCCCCTGGATTAGGGAAGAAGAAGAATGTTAGCTCCTGTTAGCTTGTTGGCTCGCAGCAGTAAGAGCTTCTACTGAAAGATGGGGCTTCGTCAGCTCTTTATTTCAACTGTGCAGGAGCTGAGCCCAGTCTCTTCATTGGTTCAGCAGCTTTAATATGTTTTGATGTCTTCATTTGGGACATTTGTTCTCTGTCGTGCCTGTTGCTAGCATGTTCTTGTGCTAAATGAAAATAATCCCCTTATTCTTTGATTTAGAACTTTGACTTCACCCCCTGGGAGTTTGGAAAAATCCATAGAAAAGCTGCACCTTCTTAAAAGCTGCTTGGTTCAAAGCGTGGGAAAAAGTAGTGACTTATAGTCCAGATAATATCGGATTATTGACCCATCAAAATGTATAAAACATAGAATATATACTTTTAGCCTGTAACCTGTGGTAATCCATGTCTTACTACTGATGCCACTAGCAAGGTGACAGCTCTGTAGAAAGCAATACTTCTTAACACCAATGTTATGACTGAAGTTCTGAGCTGTACCACGTCCCGAGGCGACCAAGTGGTATGGCGGTAGCGAGGCTACGGACGTCATGTATTTTGGCTCTTCCTCCAAATGGAGCAAGCCTTGATACGCGCCTCACGGAAACGCCCAGTGGCATACTCAGTTCTGTTTTTATTGTCTAAGACTCCCTTTTCTCAATTTTGTCTTCCAACACTTTTCACAAAGCCTGCATCACAGAGGGAAATGGACAGCTTTTTGGCTTCTGTGTTCCAAGTGGTCATAAGGTTGGTTCATCAACCTGCTTTAGGATCATTGGTCACATAGTGACCAATAGCTAGTTTTCTAATAGAGGCAACCCTTTTCCGGTGTTTCAAAATGTTATCAAAATCGGTGTACCATAGCCTTGGAAGGAACAGATAGACAATGTCACTGATTCTGTAGCATATCTTACAGGAAGCATGAGGCGCTTTCCCTTCTAGACTTCAATCTCAGTATCATCTGACCAAAGCCTAGGATTCTAGTTAATGTCCTCGTAGAGTTCGGTCATCTC